CGTTTATTTATTTTTGGGACAGAGAGAGACAGAGCATGAACGGGGGAGGGGCAGAGAGAGAGGGAGACACAGAATCGGAAACAGGCTCCAGGCTCTGAGCCATCAGCCCAGAGCCCGACGCGGGGCTCGAACTCACGGACCGCGAGATCGTGACCTGGCTGAAGTCGGACGCTTAACTGACTGCGCCACCCAGGCGCCCCATTGATTTGTTAATTCTTGATGATATTCAACCATCAGAAAAGATTTAGACATTGATTTCCTTTTCTATATCTAAGACTCCCAAATTAAACAGGTAATATTCGAATGTTGAAGTAATTTGTTTTCACAGAATAAAGGCATCCCAGACCCTCCTGTTGGAAGGCCTGACCATCTGATTCAGTATAAAGAAGAGGCATTGGGCTGAAGTCATTCTCCTATAGACACACAGTAAGTCTCAACCACAGTGGCCACCCATGTCCTCAATAGAACTGCCCCACCAATTTGTAAAGATTCTAAGTCTGGCATTGGCTGGCTTTTTATGGCACTGTTTTTTCTTACACTGCCAGTGCCTTAGGCTCATTCTATGTACCCCACCATTCCATCCTCCCCTTATCACACCAAGCATATTGACAATAGCATTGTTATCCACCTAAAATAAAAAAATTAAAGTCTTAAACTTATTAAGCTCCAACACAGAATGCTTAAACTCAACTTAAACCTGTGCATTTTGAGGACAATCAGCTCTACTCATTATCCTGCAAAACTAGACCATGATGTCAGTCACCCATCTTCTCTGGCTACAAGTAGAACAAATCCAAGTTCTCAAATGTGGGAAACAATACACCTTCATCAACTTGCTTGATAGTGTTGGCATTGACAACCTAGGTTCAGTATATACAGTAGTCTCCCTATCTGGGGTTTTGTTTTTCATGGTTTCAGTTACCCGCGGTCAACTGCATGGTGGAAACCAAATGATCTTCCTTCTGACATATTGTCAGATCAGCAGTAGCCTGACGCTACGTCACAGTGCCTGTCGTTCACCTCACTGCATCTCATCACAGAAGCATTTTATGATGTC